AAATCTTTCCCAGAATTCCCCAGTAGCTGTTCTCCCAGCCCCCAGTGGCAAGATGATCACATACCTTGCTCCAGGAAAGTGAGCCCACTCAACAGGCCAGACTGATGGGCAGGACATTATAGGGGGCAGAACTTAGGCAACCAGGAGGGACCCTGCTCACAGGAGCAGCCGGTGGAGTGCAGGGGGAATGGCTGCTGAGACCAGATGTATGAGAATATTAGAGATAATAATAATTTGTGGCCAGATCATTCCACAGACATTTCTCAAGGCAAACAAGAAACAAAGCAGTGATGTGAGGGGGCAAAACTCCAACTTTCTCCCCACAAGGGCAGACGACTATGCAAACACACATGCACATCAGCCTTCCACTACATAGTCCACAACTGCTGGGCCAGAAGGCCCAGAGGACAGCTCCCATGTTGTTCAAAGACAACAGCACTGCACATAGGGAGGCCATGTGGTTGCTGTGGGGATGGAGTTCCTAGCCACGCAGGGTTGCACCATATTCCCAGCAAGTCACTGACCCTGGCATGAGACCCCCTAGCCACCCACCTACCAGGGTGCTCCCAGGAAGGGCTCCCAGTGTTGTTAGTGGCAGTCCCATTTGCAGACATCTGAATTCCCTGGGGCAGGCAGCACGTGGCGTCTCACTCCCCCGGCTATGACCCGGTTACGGGAGTTGCTAGGTAACTGCTTCCCACACTGAAGGAGGTTTAGTTACCATGGCAAGCCCAGATTGGGGAGGGGGTGCTGTACAGAGGAAAGGGAGCACTGGAAGTAGGGGGCAGGGCACAGCAGCCGGGCTTTGTCCTCACTCTCTCCTGAGCTACAAACCTCAGGGGACTGCTCTAACGCTTCTGGGCCTCAGTTTCCTCATCGGTTAAATGAATGAAGAAGAGCTCAGGTCTCTTCTAGCTCTAAACCTTGATGCATGCAGGTGGCATGCATGAAACGAGTACTAACCCTCAGATCTCTCATAGGCAAGGGACAACTCAGAACAGGTGAAGAAAGGGAATGAATTAACATTGTCTTAAAAAAATAAATAGAGGAATTAGCCAGTCAATGTCTCCACTAGGACAAATAGAAACTTTGGAGTTTCTTTCTTCCCTTTGCAGAAATTTAGTTTCTGGAACTGATATTTACAAGTCCTTGGGACCCCTAGGCCCTTTTCTGAACTTAGACTTCCTGAGGAATAAAACTCAGCTTCTGGAAGGGTAATGTCCTCTCAGATGAGGGCTGGTGGGTTTTGGGCTCTGCAGGCCCAGCTGGAAGCACAGTGGAGCCTTCCCTAGGTCACTGGGGATGATTCTGACCCTACAGCATGGGCCTCTGCACAAGTCCACCAGCTCTGCCACTTGAGCTTGGTTCCTTCATGAGACCCAGCCCCACCTTCATCCCTCATTCCTCCAATGAGATCGTTGCCCAACCAGATGTTGGGACTGCTGCAGTACCCAGCTCCTCCCTTCCCCAGTGACCTCATGCTGGAGCCCTAATATCACCAGCTACACAGGCTCCTGTGACCCCAGAAGAAAGGCCAGGCCCATCTCATCCCCAGAAGCTGATCTGTCTTCTGTCCCCCTCTTTAGAACCTGCCTTCAGGGTCCAGTTCTAAACCAAGCCATTCCTGATCCCTCTCTGTCCCCACACAAACACAGCAAACAAAACAACACAAGTGTGGCCAAAGTTGCTCGAATCATCTTATCAGAGATCCTTCTCCACCCACACTTGACGATGAATTGCCCTGTGGTTGGCAGCAGGAGGAGGAATCATACTTCATGTAAAGGGAGTGAAAACCACTGGGTGTTGCACTGATTGCTCCCATGGTACTGGTCTCTCAGTACTAGCTGTGCTCTGCAGCATTCTAGAATCTTCCAGCCCTGCAGAGAAAGTTCTCTCCCCTCCTTTCTAACTGCTTACCCCAGATGATGTAGAAAAGCTATAAACTTTGAATCATACCAATCTCAGCTCCAGGAAAGAGTCTGCCACTAGCACTGTGAGCCTGGAGAAGTTACTTGACCTTTCCAAGCTGATCTAGAGATGGAGAACTAGGTAGTCACAGGAAGTAAACAAAACTCTAGGAAGGACTTGGTAATGGCCTAACGTGGTGGAATCTGAGATGACTGTCAGCTTTCTTTATTCCTTTTTATTTTTATGGTCAAGGTCAAGCACCAGGGCATGGAAGAGGAGAAACTTAATCCTTTTCTGAGGTTCCTGCTGGCTTTTGACCTCCTTGGCCCACTCCTGAGTTCCACTTTCCCTAGTCAGCAAGTGAGAGAGGGCGGTAGCAGGTGTGCACACACATGCACGCGCACACACAGAAACAGGCTTCTCTTCACATCCCCCAACCTCATCCCCAGGGAGAAGCCAATGCAGCAAAGGCTCTCCACCCCCAACTTCCTGACCTGTATTCTGCCCTCCCCTGGGTAATCTTTCTGCCCATCACACAATTAATTTGCTTATGTTGGAAGTTGGTTTTGGAGAGCTACCCTCCCTCACTTCTTCCCAGTGGTGCCTCCACTGTTACAGTGGCCTGCAAGGTACAAAATGCTGAGGATGTGGCAAAGATTCTTTGCTCAGCCCAACTCGAGTCAGGGTTCTCGATATTCTGCTAGGCCCTCTATGCACTTCCTTGCAAGATCCAGTTACTGGACATCTGATCTCCTCTATGTCAGTTCCTCCTCTTGCACCATCCCCCAGGTGATATCTGATATCTTATCTGTCTTCAGCAAGAATCCTGCTAGGTGGATTAGTCCAAGCCCCCACTCCTGATGTTTCCTCTGAGTAATTTTTACCCACAGACCCCCACCTATTGCTCCTTGGATATAAATTCCCACCAGTTCATGACACATTTGGGGTTGAGCCCAATTTCTCCCCCTGAGTTGTAGGACTCCATTGCAGTAGCTTCTGTGCCTCTCTCTATGATGGTGGCCATTAGGGTAGGGCCAACTGGACAGGCTTTGGGATCCCCTCAGGGGATTGGTGGATCATATATCTGGGTGTCTGAGTGGGTCATGAAGGCATAGCCTTGGGGTCTAAATCTGGTCCTTCATCCTTTCCTCCCTGGCATTGCTCCCCTCCTTTGTTTCCTGGCTGCCATGGACCAAGCAGGTTTGCTCCACATGCCCTTCCAACATGACATTCCTGCACTGGTGCCAGCTGACCCTGAACAGAATCTCTTGAAACCCTGAGCCTAATTAAACCTCTCCTCCTTTAAGTTGTGGGTATCTCAGCAATGGGAATGCTAATACAATAGTCCTCAATAATGTCTCCTTACCACGCTGTAACAAGCATCACTGCATTGTCTTTTCTTTATCAGATGTTGACTAAGAATGCCAAGTTAGGCAGTGGGGTCAGCAGCAGCAACAACAACCCAGGCCAACCTTGGGATACCAGCCATGCTCCCAACCAGTGTCTGTCCCTTTACAGATCACCCCACTCAGACCAGGCTTTGCGTTAACTGGAAAGCTTTCTCCCTATTTGGCAAGGTGGTGCATTTCTGAAATCCCAGCTTCTCAGGAGGCTGAGGCAGAAGGATCACAAGTTTGAGGCCAGTATAGACAACTTTGCAAAACTGTGTCTCAAAACAGAAAGATTTGAAATATGATAACAGAGTATGCTTGATTTATTCCCCAGTATAGAGGAAAACAGAGAAGAAGAAAACCTGCCATACCATCCCCATTTGGGGGTTCAAGCTGCCTCCAGGAGATGGGGCTGTCATCTTGATGATCCTCAGCCCATGAACTGTGCCCTGTATTTTCCTTCTCTGGTGTCTGTGCCTGTGCAGTCCCACTACCTGGAGGTCCCCTTCCTTCCTCTCTACCTCCACCCACATCCTAGCCAGCAGTTAAGACAGAGAAAACACTGCCTCCTTTCCAAGTTGTCTTTGATTCCCACCTCCACCAGTCCTGAGCCACCTTCCTGGCATGTGCAGCGCCAGCAGCTTTGCTCTGGAGCACTGTGTGCCCTCAGTGCCTCTGTCTGCCCTGTGACATCTGGGCTCCAGGTCCCAACAACAGGGAATGAGCAGACACCAAGGAAACAATAATGCTGGCCCAGGCCCCATGGTTGGTCAGTGTTGTTTTAAAATTGGCACAGTTGTTCTTGGTACTGCGCTATCAGTGAGTCAGTCTGTCCAGCAAGAGCCAAACCTGTCCCTTCAGGCTGCCCATGATGCCTGCACAGCCCGCCCAGGTGCGCTGCTCCAGACTTCCTGCCTGGAGAGCTCGAGAGATGGCCCAGTCCCTCCTGGTGATTCCAGCCTCAGAGCTGAGCATAAGAGTTGTTGGAGCCCATCATGGGCTCTCCCTGCCTCTGGTCCATCCTGTCCTCTCAGCTAGAGACATGAACTCAGGCACCATGTTCATCCTGCCCATTCCCAGTTCTCACATCTTCATGGCTCCCAATCACAACAGAGTTCAAACAGCCTGCCGTTCAAGGATTTGAGAGCTTCCTGTATTCCCAGCCTGTTTCCTCTGTCATTCCTCGCTCTCTGAAACACACGCATGTACATATCCATGTATCCAGATGTATACACACACATATAAATGCATTTTCAGACACACCTATGTGCCTACATATACATAGACACCATGACCTAAAAGAATTGTTTTGGGTAGAGATAAGATTTATTGATGAGCTTGATTCGAAGAGGGCGACAGCACAACAGAGGCCTTCCAGAATACAAGGCTCCACCTTGTCCAGAGGAACAAGATTCGCTCACAGCCCTCAGGGATGAGGTTCTTCTCAGCCACCATGTCTCAAGTCCATCTGCATTAAACTTGGTGAAGCCTTACTTCTTTGACATGGTGGCCAGGAAACTTGAATGCCTGTAGGCCTTGATCATTGTTCCTTGTTCTGCAGCCCAATGCAGATGGACAGATGCCTTGTGCAATGTGCACCCTCCCACTGTGCCCTGGGGCTTCCCAAAGGCACCTTGCATACCTATCCTAAACCTAGACTGGGGATAGCACGAGGTCAGACACACGAACCCCACCAGGAAGCAGCGTCCCCAAGGTCTCCTACGCAACCTACACCAGCAAGCAGCTGCACACACTACCAAGGAGGTTGCTGTTCACAGCCATTGCACACTGAGCACCCACAAGCAAGGGAACCCAGTCAGTTTCATTGACTGCATAGAGAGACCAAACTGCTTGCTTTAGTTACCATTTGCAGTGAGGGTTTCGTTTTTTGTTTTTTGTTTGTTTGTTTGTTCATTTTTCCAGTACTGGGGGTAGAACTCAGGGCATCTGCACTGAGTTACTTAGTTACTTTTTTTGAGAGTGTTTTGCTAAGTACCTAAATTGCCAAGGCTGAGCTCAAGGTTGCAGTCTTTCTACCTCAGCTTGCAGAGTGCCGGGATCACAGGCCTGTGCCACCATGCCTGTTACATTTATTCACTCACTCATTCACTCATTCATTCAGCCGTTTCCCATCAGTACCAGGTCCATTCAGAGCGGGGATTTCTCCGCCTCCCTGCTGTTAGGTACCACCCAGAATGCCTTCCACTTGCCTTCCGAGTCTCTAGATTCTCTAAGGACTGGTTTGAGGTCCACCTCCTTGGAAAAGCCTTCTTAGCTTCTCAGGCTTCCACAGCCCTTCCTGATTTTGAGGTTCTTATATAAGAGCACTCTCTAAAACACTCCCTAGGCTAATAAACACCTTCTAGACTGGCATGTCCAATAGGTGCCCACTAGCCACACATGGCCACTGAGCATTCTGAAGGTGGTGATGAGATTTAAAAAAAACCTGAATTTTTAATTCTTACTTAATTTTAATAGCCACGTGTAGTCAGAAGCTACTATATTGGACATTAAAGTTCTACCGAAGAATTCATTTGATCCTTGGATACCATGGACTTGGTGGCAAGTGGAGCAGGATGAGAATCCTTATGATGTGACCCTGGTCACTTTGCTAAACTTCTCTGAGCCTTGGCTTTGTCAGTGATATCACATGTGGATTATAATACATCATATAAGGTGGAGGTGACTGAATGTATTGGGAGCCCCTGTCACATACAATGCATGCAGCTGGCACACGGTAAATAGTAATCTCTAGACCCCACCCCACCCTGCTTGCCCCTGAAAAAATGGGCACAGTGAGACGAGAGGGACTAACCCTGGTTTGGGACCTCAGTTTGTTTCCATTCACCTACTTCATTGTCAGGAATCCTCTCCTTCTGATACTCAACCAGCAGAAAAAGCCCCAGCCAGAGGACTAAACAGCTCTTGCTCAGGCCCAACCCACCCCAGGAGCACACAATGGGCTGACTCTGTGTCCCCCAGAGAAGGGACAGAGGAGGAGTCTCCAGATAGAAGAAGTGTGGAACTCCTGGCCCTCACTGAAATCTGTCCCCCGTGGTCCAGGTCCTCTACCTCCGCTCCAGACCAGAGTCTCCCAGGAGGACCAGGATGCTGACATCCTCTTCACTCTTAAAGATGGTCAAACTATGCAGTGTGTAGTGGACCCCACTGCACTCCAGCCTGTGCACACACATGCACGCGCACGTGCGCGCGCGCGCACACACACACACAGAGTCACACTGTGCACTTGAGTCACTGAAAAAACTCCTGTTTAACTGAGTTGCCTTTTGCACCCCAGGCTCTTATTCTCACATTCATACTTTATCTGTGACAGGAGGAGAGAGAAAATCCTACTCGGTTTTAAGAATTTCCTAGTCTGTTCAAAGTAGTGGTGACAAGGGTGGGAATGAGGGTGAAAGCTTCGTGGTTAGGGTACAACAACAGGCAGCAGGGCTGCCCCCAAGGAGCTGACAGCTAGCTCCCCGTTGGGGAGACAGGCCATCCCTGCCCAGAGCTCAGGAGCTAGGATAGGGTAAACGAAGCGACCATAAGCTGAGAAGAGAGGACCAAGTCACTGGTGGATGAAGTGAAAACACGCTGTGCCAAGAAAGGAGGCCACGCGTGGAAGAAGCACAGCAGGTTGGGGGCCCCGATGGCCATGAGGAGCTTGGTTTTCACCGTAGCCAGTGGGGAACCTCGGAAGATGTTTCGCAGGGAATGACATCTTTATATTTGCCCTTCAAAAGAGATGGGATAGGGATGCCTCCAGTTAGGGAGGCCAGGTGGGAGGCTCTGGCAGCATCACAGGTGGGAACATGGGGAAGCCAGGGGATAGTGGTGGTAGCAGGGATAGACAAGGACAGACAGGAGGCAGCCTCTTCTGGCCTAGAGGCTGGAGGAAGAAGAAGCCACCTGCCAGACTTAGCATTTTCTGTCAAGGAAGATGGTGGAGGAGAGGCAGCTGAGTCACTCTCCCGGAGGAACAGAGGAAGGGACTGATGGTTCTCTTTGGGACATGTTGCACTGAAAGGGCCTGGGGGATGTCCGAGGACAGATGGCCAGCAGGCAGCCTGAGATGATGATGTGGAATTGAGTCATCCAAGCCCAGAGAAGCAATGATGCTCATGGAGGTATGAAAGAAGGGAAGGCTAGGGATGACCCCCAGGAACATGTGGATGGACACGGGAGATCAACAGGCCAGAGCACGGGAGAGAAAGCAAGGCAACCAGTTGACAAGGAACCTGTAAACTGCCGTGACTATTAGAGGCAGAATAAAGTCCCAAGTCTGGAAGTTTTGTGGGGGCAGGAACTACATAGCAGGCTGTTCAATAAAGAATCACTGAAGCAGGTGGTATAGCACACACTTGTAATCCCAGCACTCAGGAGGCTGAGGCAGGAGAATCACCAAGAAGCAGACACCAGCTTGAGCTACAAAGTGAGTTCCAGTCTCACCAGGACTAGTAAAACCCTGCCTCAAAATAAACGAATCAATGAATAAGCAGATGAAAGCCTTAGATAAGTCCCAAAGATATAGTTGTGAAGGTATTCATTTCATGGGACAGAGTAGGGTACAGTAGGGTGGGTCAGAGGTTCTAGAAGGCTGTTCAGCCTGTTCCGGCCTAGGATCTGCCCCGGTGGAACTCTTTTCCTTCTTCTCTCACTTGCTCAGGGAATAGGCCACAAAGAAACATTTTAGAGGTGTAGAAGAGCACCCCCCAAAGTTTTATAATAGGTGCCCATGACACAAATTGTTACAGAGGGATAAAGTCACCCCCAGGGAACTTATCTAAGAATACATCATGAGGTGGGCTATTTTGGGACTCAAATTACACAGGAGGCCTGGGGAAAATAGATGTATGCTGAGATGAACACAGCTACAATTAATGTTAACTATAAGGTGTCATAGCTCCACTGAGCACGCAGCCTGCAGTGCTCAAGAAGTGGAGGGGAAGGGAAGGCGAATTGGAGCAAAGTACCCAGGCGAGAGAGGACAGTGTCCTCCCAGGAAGCCAAGAGAATGAAGGGATGGGCGGGGACTCGCTGGAGAAGGCAGGGCTTTCTCAGAAGGTATCAGTCTCCTTGGCCAAGGTGGCCTCTGAAGTCAGAAATGTAACCAGGATGGGCTGGCCTAGCTCAGGGAGGCTTCAGGTCCAGAGCTAGGGGGATAGGGAGAGGCTCAGGAGTTCTCCTAGGAGGTCACCACATCATGGAACATTCCTGGACTTGGTTACTTAGCTTCATCTACAGGGCCCACACCTAAAAGAAATCAGTCTCCCCCAAAGGTAAGGTTTTTTTAAAAAAAAAATTTCAGTGCCATACCCAGTGTTTAGCTGTGTATAGGATGGAAAGTGGGGGCCAGGCTTCATGGATATGTACCCTGGATTTCCAACTGACAGCTGATAACCATGAAGAGGATATCTCCTTTCCCAGAGCCTCAGTTTATTCTTCTGTAACACCTCACACAGTCTAACAGGTTGGGCAGGAGGTCGGGTCGTAGTGGATCACTGTGTATTAAATTCTCTATAGCCTTCACCCACAGTGTCCTTTATCACCTTGCCTTGTGAAGACCACTGTGAGAGTTTGTTGTTGTTTTGTTTATCTGTGGGGCTGGGGATGACCCCAGGGCCTACCTGGTAGGCTAGCTATCACGTCTGCTTCTTCCTTTTTATTCTGGATGGCAAGCAGGTTATCTACCATGCATGAACCTCTCTAACACAGGGGCTGCATAACCTGACACTGGTGTATAAAAGGTGACTTACCAAAGACCACAGTGTGTTTCATATTCATTAGATCCGGGAAAGGGCTTTTTCAATGTGAACTGTTTCTAAAATATTCCATTCTGCTTCTGTCCAATTCCAACTCAGGTCTCATAATGTCTATGTCCTTTGAGAGAAAAAAAAAACAAAACATGCTTTAAGCATGCTAGTTCAGTGTAAGCCTCTGGGGGACTTGCTTCTGTCCTGAGCTGCATCTGCAGCTCCTGGAACAGCCTTGAACTTTGAGAAAGGCTCCACCAGGATTTGATAAACGGATGAACAGCTTCTGACTCTTAGCACAATGCTAGGCATTTGCCAAATGTTTGTTGAATGAATAAATCAATTTAAAAAAAAAAAAGATGGAACACTTTCTACTGTCCCTTTCCTACATTCTTGGTGTAGGCAGAATAGTAAAGTGAACAGGTAAACAGGCTCTAGAGTCAGATGGTCTGGATTTGAATTCTGACTCTTCTACTCACTAGCTGGGTAACCTAGCAGGAGCTATCAAACCTCTCTGTGCTTCATTTTCTCAGCTGAAAAATGGGGAGAATAATTTTTCTAATAGAATTACAAAGTTCACTGAAAGTATGCATAAAATATTTAGCAGTGACTGGCACATAGTAACTGCCACTGTATTTTTTATGATCCTGTCACTCTCTTAACCTTCAGTCACTCCTCTGTAGCTAACAGAGTAAGATCTAAAGCCAAGGTCCCTGTAATTTGGCCCAATATCCTTTTCTTTCCTGTCCCATCTCTTACTGTCCTTTCCTGGCTGCTAACTATGTCAGATCTCCCAACAAGTGATACATTTTCCATTAATTTTTTCCCCTCCTCAAAAAAATCCTTCAAGGTAGGGCTTATTATTGCCTGTCTGTCACTGATGATGAGACCCAAGGCCTACAGAGGAGTAACAACCTTCCCAGGGGCACACAGCTAATACCAGGAAATCAGAGTTTTTGTTTTAAGTGGCTCCAAAATCTTTACTGTGCCCAGTCTGTGAGTCAGCACACCAGCCTACCTGGGGGGTTGTCAGAAAAGGAGACCTCAGGCCTCCTCCCAGACCCACCCAACAGAATCTGAAGCTTAGCCAGACAACTTTCTGCCAGTCGGACAGAGTGCAAATAAAATCAAGTATGTGATCTCCTTTAAACCCCAACATTCTGGAGGTCAGAAGAGGTCAGCACCAGTGAACCATTTTACGGAAGAAGCAAAGAGTAAGGCTCTGAAAGAGTAGTCTCTTGAGCTGAACCCATGTGCGCCGTGGCAGCATAATGAGCTGACCTTCAGCACATATCAAATCCCTCTCCCATCCTTGAATTCTCACCATTTCAGGCTCCATTCAAAATCCCCTCTTAATAGGCGAAGCAGTCTTATCGTCTCCCACAGGGCAGATTAATTGCTTTTGCCTGCATCGTCCTCACAGCTCCTTACCCATAACATTCTCTTGGCCCTAATTCATTCTTTAAGTAATATACACTGAGTATGAAGTGTGCGCCAGTCGCACAGCAGGCACTGAATAAATGTTTGTTCAATCACTTTGCTCCCAAGTAGTTGAGTGCATTTATTAAAACATTTTCATCACACTTGGGTCATCACACTGCTTGTGTTACCTTGCCCCTGCTTGTCACTCTCCTGAGCTCTTCTGTGTCCCCAGGGCACAGAATCTGGCCCTTAAAGGCTCCCAAGTCTTTATAAAATAAACTCTATGCTCTCCAATCTAAAGATGGAATTCACCTATAGTACTTAAGAGTGTATTTTTACCAGGACTGTAGCCTTCCACTTCCAGGAGTGGCAAAGGACAGATCTGGTACCTGCTACTCACCATTCTCAGTCTTTGAGTTGATCCAGCATGCCTAGAACTACAGTCATAAAATTTACAGATGTTTGAAGATCTTCATCCCCCCCCCCAGACCATCAATGGAAGGTATAGAAATGCTAAGTGACCTCCACACCCACATCCCCTGGTCCCCCAGGGTTAAAGCCACCACATTTCCCCATAACCTAAACAACAAGAAAAGGAGAAAGGGTGTCCCAGACACGCAGAGCTTAGCAGTCCCCATGTTCTGCCTCTTCCTTTACCAGGAACCCACAGAAAGCACTTGTTTCTAGGCCTCAATTTCCTCGTTCGTAAAATGAGGGGTTGGACTAGTTTCTAAGGCTCCTTCCAGCTCTGAGATGCTGTACTACAAAATGAGAGAAATGTGAACCTTTGGTTGCTATGATCTGAAAATATTTTGAACGTGGAGAATCAAATTGTACAGCAGCACACGAACAAAATAATATGTTAATGACTAAGAAGATTGTATTTAATCCAATGGGAAACAGCAGAGCTGCAGGTGGGGTGTGTGTGTGTGTGTGTGTGTGTGTCTGCGAGGCTTTCTTCCTTGAGCTCAAAGATATATTTTGAATCACTAATCAGTAATCAGGCCTGTGGCAGCCTATCTTGCCCAAACACACACACACACACACACACACACACACACACACATTCACACACTGCTTCAAATTAAAATGGGGGTAAATTTCCACTGCTGTTGCTTACATCATTTCTGTTTGGGTGACTTTTTTTTTTTAAAGAAATTTTTGTAGTGAAGGTGTTGGACTGACAGACCCTGGAGGCCTCTGATCTCAGAACTGGGGCACGTGGGCGTGCAAGAGATCTCATTAGCATTTTGTTTTTCCATACCAAAATCCAGTCCAGCAACAAGACTGCAAGGCTTGGGGGTCAGACTGGTGACCCCAGAGGCCAGAACACATGCTCTGGACTCCACCGTCCCTGCGCACACAATCAACGCCTCCCAGGCGGGGGCTGGTTGCAGGAAGGACTAGGTCGGCCACCTCCCACGGCCGGCCGAAGGGTCTAGTAAGCGGGTGGACGTGGCCCCAGGGTTTTACGTGGATCTAACCTGCGCCTCGCTCCAACTTCCTTTCCACGCTGGGTCTTTCGACCCGGGCTAGGCCCTGCAAAGCGCACACCAGGTTGCACCCCAAGAAAGCCCTGGAGTCCCGGAACTGGTCCAGGCTGCAGGCACTTGGGCTCTGCCCCGCCCGACGGCCCCTTCTGCCGCTTCTGCCCCTCGGGCCCCCTCGGGCCTCTCCGGCCCCGCCCCGCAGGACGGCCGCGCCCACCCTGCAGCCCGCGCGGATTGGCCAGCTGGGGGCCGCGGGGCGGGGCCCAGGCAGACCTCGAGGCCAGGTGAGGCGCCCCGCCCCTCGGCGGCTCCAGGTGCGGCCGCCGGCCCTCAGCGCAGGGCCAGGGGCCAGGCGGGCAGCCAGCGCCGACGGCCGCGGCGACGCTATGGCCGCGTCCCAGCTGTGCTGCCTGGACGAGGCGCACGTGAACGAGAAGGTGACCGAGGCGCAGGCCGCCTTCTATTACTGCGAGCGGCGACGGGCAGCGCTGGAGGCTCTGCTGCGCGACGGCGAGCCGGCCTACCGCGAGCGGGTCCAGAAGGAGCGGCTGCGGAACTTCCTCTCCAGCCAGGAGCGCCAGGCCCTCCGCGCCGCCTGGAGCCCCTACGAGGACGCCACCCTTGTCGCGCGGGGCAAGAGCAAAGCCAAGTCCAAGGGCCCCGCGCCCGCCCCTGCCCAGCCCGCCGAGTCGCTGGCCTACTGGCCAGACCGCTCCGACACCGAGGTGCCCCCGCTGGACCTGGGCTGGACGGATAATGGTTTCTTCCGCGGCGTGAGCCGCGTCACCCTCTTCACCCATCCCCCCAAGGAAGAGAAGGCACCACACCTCAAGCAGGTGGTCAGGCAGATGATCCAACAGGCCCACAAGGTAGGCCCTGCCGGCCCTGCGCTCCACACCGTGGACCCCCACCCCCAGCCTCTTGGACCAGGCTTCACCTCCCGGGGAGGGCCTGGTACAGCCGCCCTAGCCACACTCTAGAAAATGATCTCCAACGTCCCATAACCTTATGGGCCGGTGGTGAGGCCTCTAGAGAGGATGGATATGCACGTATTTGGCAAATCACAAAGTTAGTTGTCGTTATACTGTCCGGAGGCTCTGGCTTTCTGTGCTGTGTCTTTTGTCCTGCCCATCCATCTTCCCGAGGTCCTGTAGCAAAATGGGCCATTTGCAGGTCTTTTGGTCATGACCTATGCATTCCACAGAGATTTGCAAAATGTATCCCTGGTCATTTTCTCATTCCATCTTCAAAATAACTGGTGAGGGTGACCTCCCCATCCCTACCCCCACCCAGCTATGCTCTTGGGAGGCCCCCATCCCGGCAAAGCTGATCTGGAGCCCTCACATTCACTTTCCTCCTGGGCCCAGCCCTGGCGCTCAAGCAGCCAAGAATGAATGAAGGGAGCTGTTTTGAGTGAGCTGTGGTCTGGCACAGTGCTGGGCATTCTGACAAGCCAGGTTCTGGACTCTGCAGCTCAGGGAAAATCTCCAGCTTATCCCATCTGCTAGAATTGTTGAAAGGAGATGGGGGGCCAGTAGGTTGTGGATCCGGGGGGAGACGTTAATCTTTGTGCTCTGAATAAGAGAACTTGAGTAGGGTTGGATAAAAATGTAGGATATTCCCTTAAATTTGAACTTTAAATAACTGGTAAGTTTTTTTTTGGTTTTGTTTTTGGTATCAATTCATCTCAAATATTGTGTGGGACATACTGGAACTGAAATTATTCATCACTTACTAAAATTCAAATTTAATTGGATAGCCTACTTTTTATTTGCTAAATCTAGCTCCCCTCCACTGAGATTTGTTAAGAAACAGTGGCAGCCTTAGTCCCCTGTTCATAATGTGCAGCAGGAGGGGCTGAGTTCACCATTGTAACCCAACTTTGAGCTGGAGGCTTGATTCTGGTGGAGGCCAAAGAGGCTTAAACAGGAATCAGGAAGCTGGGAAACCATTGGCGGAGCACCTCTTCCTGGAAGGGGTCATTTAGATGGCCTTGGAGGAAGGGTTAATTTTTCACTGTGGGTGCTTCCACCCTCCTGCTCTGAATCATTGTTCCTTGCCTAACTGAACTTTTGTATGTCGCATTCTGCAGAAGAAAAATGCAAGACTGAGCACAAAGCAGGGGAGAAGAAAGTGGGTGGCAATGCTAGGCAGCAAGCTGCAGTCCGGGTCAGAGATCAGGTCTCGTGACGTAATCCTAACAAAGTCTCAATTTAGTTAGTACTTCTTCTGTGCTGCTCACTGTGCTAATGATTTAACCTGCATTTTGTCTTGCTTTTCACAACCTTTGGAAATAATAGATACTTTTCCTTAGTCTCAGAGAAAAAGAAACCAGGATTCAGGAGAGTTGAGTTACTTGTCTAAGGTTACATAGCAAGTAAGGGGCTGAGCCAGTACCCAAACACCAAAGCCTTTCATCTAAACACTGCACTGCCCTGCCCCACTGTCCAGAGTAATGGTGTAGTGGAGCTTGAATGGAGCAAATCTGGTCACAGTCAGGGTTCAGGTTGTAAACCTGTTATAAGAAGAAAGAGACAAACTCCTTGGCCGCTGGGGCTTCTAGTTCCCCATGGGATGACAGGACTCTCTTGCTTAGTGGGGTTTTCTTTTGTTTTGTACCAGGAAGCAAACTCATGACTTTGTGCTTGCCAGGCAGGTACTGTGCTGCTATATCCCTGGGTTAGTGGGGTTTTCTTAACTCTTCAAATATTTAGCAACAGAAACGTTAATAGTTGTGAATCAAGCCCATAAGTACAGACTTTAAGCAGTAATTGTTTCTGGAATATTGCCAGGCATTACCCATAAAGAAGAGCCAAGCAGGGGCCTTTGCCCTCCAAGAGTTTACTCAAATGTAAGGGCTTTGCTGGAGAAAAGGCGGTTCTGAGGCTGGCTGTGTGTACTGGGAAGGCTCCCTGAGGGAGGTGAGTTGCAAAATTGGGGAAGGAGAGAGAATTAAAGTAGGCATTCTCTCAGAGACTCTGAGCCCAGAGCAAGATTTATGTTTATATTTATGTTTATGTATATAATTTTTTTATTTGTATCTTATCTCACCAAAAAAAGTACAAGGAGGTTTGATTGGCAGGAGAAAGCTATCATAGTAGAATCTGAGAACTGTGTATGGCTTGGGGTGAGGCTCTTTCAACCAGGTCCCCAAGCAGGAGGCTATAAGCCTGGAAGCAGAAGCTTTTAACCCTGTCTATACTCAGCCAACTCCTAAGCCTTCTGGATCTCTTCCTTTAAAAATCACTGTCCCTTACATCAGTACAGCACCACATCACAGGTGAGGAAATTGAAGTAGAGAGAAGGAAATGGGCTTGCCCAAAGGTCATGTAGCCAGTTATAGAAAGACCAAGGTCTCTAACTTGTGTTCTAAAGGCTGCACCTCTAGATTGGGGGTGGTCTCCACCACTATGCCATTTTTTCCAACTTGCTAGCAGCCTTCCCTTGCTTCCCCAACCTGAGGGAGGTAGTTTCTTTTGCTTTCTGGGTGAATCTGGATGCCTAGAGGCTGGGTGGGGCAGATTTGTGAGAGACTTTCTTTTGCTTCCTGGGTGAGTCTGATTGCCTGGAGGCTGGATGGGACAGACTACACCTTGGGGTCACCCTCAAGGGGATGCAGAAGAATTTGGACAGTTCCAACTTTGTGCCAGAGAGATTTAGTTTTGTTTCATTTGATACTTAAAATAATTTTCTAAGGTAAGGTAATATTTGTTCCCAAATAATAAACAGGAAATTAAAGTTCAGAGAGAGTTGCCATGACTTGCCCAAGGTCACTGGTCAGTGAGTGGTTTCATCTCTGGTCATGCAAAATGTGCAGCTAGGAGCCTAATTATGGGGCACTTCGAAAATGACTGGGGCTCAGGGAGGAGGGCAGGTATAGAAATAGGCCTGTGGATGGGAGGAAAGCCTTTGAGGAAGTTAATCTAAACTAGCTGCAGAAGTCAGAACCCTTTTCCCTAGCTGTGCAGGATCACCAGCCTTTAGAGATTCAGCTGTGTTTACTTGTAAAAAGGAGGTTTTTCTACCTCTTGAGAGATGTGGTTATTTTAGTGTCAACAAATGATGTCCTTTGTCTGCTTATGCTGTAGGTAAAAAGGGTGCCTTTAGGGACTCAGCAATGAGCCTCTGGCTGATGCCATGTTAGCAAAGAAGACCAGGGCAAGTTGCTGACACTTGGGCAGCTCAGATCACTATAACTGCCAGGCAGTGCTTTATAGCCAGACCATGTGCATCCTGGGAAACTCTTGGTTCTTCTTTGCAAAGCTATAACAAGAGGAACAAGCACCCACAATCCTGACAGCCTGGCAACTTGGAGGAATTATGCATCTGTTTGGTCACTGGGCAAAATTTGGAGGTCTACTGCGTGCTAAGCATACATTAATAGAAAAAAGACATGAAACATGCCTCTGCCCTTAAGTAGCCTAATAGTCTGCTAATATGGCATTGCAGTTTAGGATGACAAATCCTTGATGTGGGGAGTGGCAGGAGGGGCAATAGCCTTACCCAGAAGACTCTCTGATGCTGAGGCCCTGCTTGTAGACATGTCTGAGCAAAACAGGGAGGATGAGACAGCACCAAACCGTTCGCTTCTCCTCCTGCCCGGGCACCCTTGTGACCAGGGGCATCCATTTTTAAGACTAATGAGTGGGTATTGCAGAAAACTGATTGGCTCTTACCTCAAAGATTGTTCCTTGGAAAAAAACAAAAAAGTTTGTTCCTTGGCCTCACATTCCTGGGTCCAAACCCAAATGTACCAGGTAACCAGCTGACTAGTTAGCTCCTCACAATCTGCCCAGTTTCTGTCGTGTTTCAGTAACTGTAAGACAGGTATTGTCTTCAGCTCCCAGAGGAGCTCTCTGAATCCAGAAGGATAGAGTGACATCTTTAGAGCAAGATGAGCAGATCACACAGGCTCCTCAGGTCCTGAGTCAGGATTGCCAGGGACCCTGTGAAGGTGATAAGCATAGCCTGGGAGGCGAGGCTGATGTCTGGCTAGGTGCTGCTCCTTTTCTGGCCTGCTGTAGATAATGGAGCAGGCTTGCCACGTTGCCGGAGAAAGGGGAGGGGTGAGGACCCAGGCCAGTCCTGTCCCTACCTCTGGCTGCCTGTTGATGACTTTGTCCTTTCTCAGGTCTTGGCTGAGTGGCCACCTCTTCCTGGGCATCTTATCAAATTTCAGATACAAAAGTTCCACACAGCTTTCTCTAACAGGCCCATCTTATCTTCTGAGGCTGTAGAGCTTTGGTACAGCAGAAACCTACTTCTCTTGATCCCCTTTGCAGGGCTGTGCAGGTGCCGTCCTCTATTGCTGAAGGTCAAGAAACCATTTAAAGAACTGAGAACTCCTCCCCTCCAGGGAAGAAGTGTCTGGAGCCTTCCCTACGGAATTGCCCATCACCCAGGGGACTCCTTTAGTAATAAGGATAGCTGGCAGCAGGGAGAAGGATGCTCTAAATCGCAGGGATAGGGTGGAGGGAATGGAAGGAAAGGGGCAGAGGGATTTGAGAAGGCTCCAGGGAAGGCAGCATGACCTCCAGGAAGCTGATGGGGTACAAGTACCCAGGGGGTGCTATAAAGTCTTTGAGTCACCAGTTCACGTCACCAGGAAACACAGCTTTGCAGATGGCATCCTTTGCCTGCTATAGAGTCCACAGTCTCCCCAGCAGCTTCAGTGGATATTTTCCTCACTTAACTGCATCCAGCAAATAGTACCAGGCACTTTCTCGATAGCAGGTACTGTGCTGAGATTGATATACAGTGATAGAGCAGATGCCTTCCAAAACAGCAGATGCCTTCATATATAATTCTTTTTAAAACCTTACTAGTTTATGCTAATATGCTTACTAGCTCCTCACCGCCATTTTTGAGA